GATGCTATACTAAAAAAAAAAATGCTTGAAGAATAAGTACAGGTAATCCTTGACTTACAACCGTTCATTTAGTGACCGTCTGTAGTCACAAAAATGCGACTCGTGACCATTTTTCAAACTTAACCACCACATCGCTGATAAAAGGGACGCGTGCATTGGTCATAATTGCGAGCTAATTGACAAGCATGCGAGTTTTGAAATCACATGACCATGGGAAGGCTGAAATGGTCGTTAAGTGTGAAAAATGGGTGATCGGTCACTTTTCACAGGGCCCCTGTAACTTCAAGCGGTCACTAAGTGGGGTGGTTGTTAAGTTGAGGAGGGAAGTGCGTACCTTTGTAACATGGGAGGTTTTTGAGAAGGTGTCTATGCCAGCCAGGACAGCTTCCACCACAGCAAAATAGATCTGAGACAAGAGTTTACTGGAAAAGGAAAGAAGAAAGGCCACACGGATTACGACAGTGAAGATTTTTAAATTCACACAATCCAGAGTTCTTTTATGGAACAGAGTCGCACAATGATAGGGGTTTTGTTTTTTTTTTCAAAAAAAGAAAAGTCCCTGAAGGAAGAAGAAATTAAGGATTGTCGTTTATGGATTTCAAGATCAGAACAGGGAAGAGAGGTAAAATAAAGATAAAATATAAATAGAATTATAACTGCCTGTCAAAAGTCTGGAAGCCTTCTCTTCCCTCTTTGCCTTCTCTTCCTTTTTCCTTTCTTTCCTTCCTTTTCCCTTCCTTTCCTTTTTCCTTTCTTTTCCTTTTCCTGTTTTCCCTCCCCCTCCCCCCTTCCTTTTCCATTCCTTTTCTTTTTCCTCTTTTCCTTTCTTTCCCTTCCCTTCCCCCTTCTTTTTCCTTTCCTTTTCCATTCCTGTTTTTCCCTCTTTTCTTTTCTTTCCCTTCCCTTCCCCCTTTGCCTTCTCTTCCTTTATTCCTTTCTTTCCTTCCTTTTCCATTCCATTCCTTTCCTTTTTCCTTTCTTTTCCTTTTCCTGTTTTCCCTCCCCTTCTTTTCCATTCCTTTCCTTTTTCCTCTTTTCCTTTTTTTCCCTTCCCTTCCCCCTTCTTTTTCCTTTCCTTTTCCATTCCTTTTCTTTTTTCCTTTCTTTCCTTCCTTTTCCATTCCATTCCTTTCCTTTTTCCTTTCTTTTCCTCTGTTTTCCCTTCCCCTTTCTTTTCCATTCCTTTTCTTTTTCCTCTTTTCCTTTCTTTCCCTTCCCTTCCCCCTTTGCCTTCTCTTCCTTTTTCTTTCTTTCCTACCTTTTCCCTTCCTTTTTCCTTTCTTTCCTTCCTTTTTCGTTTCCTTCCTTTTTCCTTTCTTTCCTTCATTTCCCTTCCTTTCCTTTCTTTTCCTTTTCCTGTTTTCCCTTCCTCTCCTCCTTCCTTTTCCATTCCTTTTTTCCTTTCTTTCCCTTCTCCTTTTCCCTTCCCCTCCCTTCCTTTCCCCTCCCTTTCCTTCCCATCCCATCCTATCCCATCTCTTCCCCCTTGTTACTATTCCCATCTTCTTTCTTATTCACCATTCTTTATTTTCTTCCTTTATTTTCTAATATTTGTAATCCTTTTATCTTGTTAAAAATTCTTCATTCAAAATTCTATTTTTAAAAAAAGACCCTGAACACAAAGTAAGCCTTAGTAACTAGGTGCCATTAGTAATATATAAAGAAAGCAAAGAAGCTGACACAAATCAACAAGGTACATTAGAAGAACCCTGATTTTTAGATGCAAATCAGAGCCTCGGGAATGGGAAATTAAAAAAGCATTCAAACTGCAATTGTGTAGTGTGTACAACAACAACTGACAACGACTTCTTCTGCTCAGCCAAGAGGTGCTTTAGAAAGGACCATGGAATCAGACAAGTATATTTTTTAAAAAACTTACACTTCTTCTGTTTTCTTTTCCAATCCATCTCCATTCCCTTTTTACATAAATAAAAGAGAAATACGGTTATTACTCTCTCTCTCTCTCTCCCATGGCAAAAAAAAAACCCACATCCTCCACCCTTCAATTATTATTTTGCATCATTCTCTTTTCTATTTCAAGCTATTTAGCTCTCATCAGCTAGCCATACCCACGCTGGGATTAAAACTTGGGCTGTTTTTTATATATTAGG